GGCAACTGTGCTTCCCATGCATGAATGTGGAAGGCCTACTGTACTATGCCAGTTTAAATAAAGCATTTGAGCATTGGGAGCATTCATGGAGTTTGGTATCCATGGGGGGTCCTGGAACCATCCCCTGTGGATATGAAGGGTCAAATGTATTTCTCTTTTATAAGCAAGTAGTGTGGAATTTAGATATATTATTTGCTCCAAGGACTCATAGGTTTTTAAGTGACAGATCCTACCTAGACTTGAACCATTTTTTTTTTACTGTCTTTTGAATGGCAACATTAACTTCATATGATATATGTAGTTATTCATTAATTAAGGAATGGTTGCAAAATTAAGGTATGCATAATTATCACTAAACTTTACAACTAAATGAATACTTTGGGTTATTTTACATGTGCTGAGAACAGTAGTCTTTTTTGATAGCAAGAATTTTGTAAGCGTAAGTTGTTTATTTAAGTCTGAATCACACAAAGGAAAATATGAAAGCCATATTTCTAAACTAATTCTGCAAGGCAGGAATAGCAGTCTCTGACAAGTAATTGAAATAGCACATAGTGTCTTTAAATTACCTAAATTAGTTGTTTTTTTGCAGGCCCTGTAAATACTTAAGTCAAGCTAATTAATTTTTCTGTTATTTAAGACTAATGCAGTTAGTATTAATGAGTGAAAGGCGATAGAAACCAAGTAGAGCAAGATATTTTAGTTGAGAGTGGGTATGAAAGGAGTAGAGGTGGAGAATCCAGGAAAGCCATGGAGATATGAAAAAAAAACAAAACAGTAGGTATATTTTATTTGAACTAAAACTGGTAGAATCTTCAAGAACCAGAGATATTCATTATATAAGATCCTCTTTTTTGAAAGCATATGTAAACCTTATCTTAATTACTAACAAAAATATATACAATATACTGTACACAAAAGGAAGCTATAGATACACACAAATATATGTGGCAGATATATTTGCAAATGCTTTCAACTGGTATGACAAGATAGGGAGGAAAGTTTCTACTATGCTTTCCTAACTTTGGAAATTTTTTTACCTTGTGAATATATTATTCTGGAAAGCAAATTAAATGAAAAATAATTATTCCTTAATAGCAAGTTAATTTTTATGTGTGGTGGGAGAAACCTGTAGTTATTGTATTTTTTACCATTGTATAATGACCATCTCTGTCTTTCTTTGCCATTGTTGATTTAAAGTCAATTTTATCCAATACTAGAATGACAATACCTGCTTTCTTTTGGTTTCTATTTGTGAAAAAATATATATATATTTTTTACATCCTTTCACTTTGAGCCTTTTTGCAACCTTATTGTTTAGCTGTGTCTCTTGGAGTCAGCAGGTACTTGGGCTGGGTTTTCTCATCCATTTAGGCAGCCTATATTTTTTGACTGTTACATTCATGCCATTATCATTAATAAATAGAATGTAAACAGCATGTGTAATGCTGTTCTATTAATCATAAGAGTACTTTGTTGCTTTGTTTTTGTGTTGTGAGTCTCTATGAGTTACGAGCTTTAGCTCTTTGGGGTGATTTGACATTGGTGGGTATCTTTTGTGCTGATTTGTATACAATGGAGTTCTGAGTATTTCCATGAGAAATTCTTTATATCTTATACTGGAGTGCAGTGGCACAGTCGTACTTCACTGTAGTCTCCAATTCCTGGGCTCAAGCCTTCTACCTTAGCCTCCTAAGTAACTAGGATAAGAAGTTCATTCCATCACACCTGACTAATTATATTAAAAAAAAAAATTTTTTTTTTAAACAAATGGTGCTGAGCTAACCGGCTGGTGACTTGTAGAAGACTGAAACCGGACCCACACCTTTCACCATTAACTAAGATAGACTCTCACTGGATTAAAGATTTAAACTTAAGACATGAAACTATAAAAATACTAGAAGAAAGTGTAGGGAAAACACTTGAAGAAATCGGCTTGGGCAAAAACTTTATGAGGAGGACTCCTTGGGCAATTCAAGCAACATTAAAAATACACTTTTGGGACCTGATCAAACTAAAAAACTTCTGCACAACCAAGAACACAGTAAATAAAGTAGGTAGACAGCCCTCAGAATGGGAGAAGATATTTGCTGGTTATTCCTCCGGCAAAGGTTTAATAACCAGAATCCATAGAGAACTTAAACATATTAGCAAGAAAAAACAAGTGATCCCATCTCAGAGTGGGCAAGGGACTTGAATAGAAATTTATCTAAAGAAGATAGGCACATTGCCTACAGATATATGAAAAATGTTCACCATCCTTAATCATCAGAGAAATGCAAATTAAAACTACTTTGAGATATCACCTAAGTCCAGTGAGATTAGCCCATATCACAAAATCCCAAAACCAGAGATGTTGGTGTAAATGTGGAGAAAAGGGAACACTTACACTGCTGGTGGGAATGCAAATTAATTCGTTCCTTTTGGAGAGACATCTGGAGAACACTGAGAGAACTAAAAATAGATCTGCCATTTGATCCTGCAATTCCTTTATTAGGTATATACCCAGAAGACCAAAAATCGTATTACAACAAAGATATTTGTATCAGAATGTTTATTGCGGCCCAATTCATAATTGCTAGGTCATGGAAGAAGCCCAAGTGCCCATCGACCCACAAATGAATCAATAAATTGTGGTATATGTACACCGTGGAATATTATGCAGCCCTAAAGAAAGATGGAGACTGCCTCCTTCATGTTCACATGGATGGAGCTGGAAAATGTTCTTCTTAGCAAACAAAGTATCAGAAGAATGGAAGAAAAAGTATCCAATGTACACAGCCCTATTTTGAAACTAATTTATAGCTTTCATAGGAATGTTATAACCTAATTACAGCCTTAGATATGTGAAGGGGGTTGGGAGAGGGGAGGGGAGGGGTGGGAGGTGGATGGGGGAGGGGGGGTGATTGGTGGGGTCCCTTCTATGGTTTAGCAGAGTATATGGAAAAGCAGAGTATAAACGTCTTAACTCAATAACTAAGAAAATGACATGAAGGCCACTTTAACCAGTTTGATGACAGTATTTCAAAATTATGTGAAAATACCACACTGTACCCTGTGATTGCATTAATGTACACAGCTATA